ATGCCATATACCTTTCTCACCACGACGCACTTCATCTACACGAAAGTTTGAGCCGATCATGAATAATACTTCTTTTTTCACTTCACCAGAGTAACTCCATTCAGTAATATTAGCAAACGACTTCTCGTAATTATTACAAGAATTGCTATTACCAAGATCTATTTCAATTAAAACTTGAATCAGTGACGATTGAATGGAAACATCGCTTTCTCCGAAATACTGTAATGCCATTCGACGATCAAGACTAGTCGACAGAAAGGGTTTCATAGAAATGATATTATATAATGATTTTCGCCAACTATTCAATTCATTTTTTGGCATAAGTTGCCCATGACAGACGTAATATGTAGAAAATAAATCGTATTCATTTTTTTTCCATGAGTGGTTCACAATACTTTTCTCCCAATTGTTTATACAAATCAATTATGAATTATCGTACCAAACAAAGAATACACTCGAGCATTTGCTGTCGAACAAAATCTTACCAAATTCGATAACAATCACGTGGATAAATTATTACATGATCCTATTATACAAGATCTACGGTCGTTTGCTACAAAAGAATCACTTCGACAATATAAAATTCCATCTAGAATAATGATCGATTTTGAGCCATTTACGTCTGAAAGTGGTGTACTCACATCATCAATGAAACTTTGTCGTTATCGACTGGCTATTCATTATGATGATCGATTGAAAACGGTCGAGTCAATTGAAAATCGTTTAAAAAGTCTGATTGAGGATGTGGGGTTGGGTATGGGTGTGGTTGTATGTCTGCTTCACTTTTGCATCCACATTCATACCCACCCACACCCCATACCCACATCCACCCTCACAGCTTCAACATATGGTGAATATTTCATGCGATTTCGACGTTCATGAGCTAAGATCGATTTTTGAAGTGGAGGAGACCTTAATAAAGAATCTCATTATTCGATACCTGCCGGAAGAAAAATGGAACCTATATCAATCTTTGGTTGAGTATGTTAAATTTTGCGACTTATTTGATAACTCGTCGTTCGTTCGTATAGTTTTGATTAGGCAGACACGTTTTTTATAATTTTTTGCAAGTTCGAATCCTTTTCATCGAAGATAGCCGATAGCTAGTTATGTTGACACGATAGTTTATAGAATTCTAACAGATTTTTCTTTTGAAAATGCTTCTTAAAAGAAGTTTTACTCGAAAATCTGGTGAAAAGTACTCAAACAATTCTTAATGAACGTTGGTACGTCTAGATGCGGCTGACCTACTTCTCCTGTGACTAGAAATATCCGTTTTTTCGCTGATACCTCGCTCTTCTCTCTTTGACTGGAAGTACTTTATACAGTAAGTACCATAAGTGGACCCGCGCTCTTTTTTATATTGAACAATGACCTTTCTTTTATCTTTTTACTTTGCTTGGACGAACTATTCATAGCCATCATCTCATATAAATAGGAACATTTCTATTGCTTCTCTTATCCATTTATAACTCAATTAAAGAATGGACATTTCTATAAAGAAAAGATGGGAAATCGTATTTTTATCACAACATCGGTATGGCCCACATATGTCAAATCCTGATATTTCACGATATTTACATGTCCATGAGTCGACTGTAAGATACTGGCTTGAAAGATATGAAACAACTAGTGAAGTGGAAGTTATACAAAAATCTGGTCGTAAACGGTGTACCACAGAAAAACAAGATACAGCAATTTAATCAATGGTAGCTCAACATCCAACTGAATCTCTAGATCAAATTGGATTTAGATTATCAAAGAAAGGCATAAAAGTTAGTAAAACAACATTAAGAAAAAGATTTAAAGAAGCTGGTGTACAATCAATGAAGCCAACTTCCAAGCCATTGTTAACAAGTGATCATATTCAAAAAAGACTCAAATGGGCTATTGAACATAAAGATGTTAACTGGAATCAAGTCGTTTTTACAGATGAGACTTCATTTTATATGAAACAAGTGATAAGACGTGTATGGAAAAAGCGTGGTGAAAATTATTATGTATCAACAATCAAACATCCTATCAAAATTCACGCTTGGGGCTACTTCAATAAAAAAGGATTTGGTAAATTATTTTTATTTACACGAACATTGAACTTAAAGCTGATGTGCAAAATTTATAAGTACGGACTTCTGCCATCAACAAAAAAATGGTTTGGTGATAATAATGCTAACTGAAGTTTATTAGAAGATAATGATCCAAAACATACTTCAAAAATGTGTAAAAGATTTAAGGTCGACAATGGTGTACAATCATTACCATGGTCATCGCAATCACCAGACTGTAATCCGATCGAGAACATTTGGGCATTAATGAAGCTTAAAATCAACAAACAGCCACCTACATCAATGAAGATTTTTATGGCAAGAATAAGAAAAGAATGGAAAAATTTACCTGTTGATTTTGCTGCAAAATTAGTCAACTCTATGAAATATAGAATAGAATTGTTAATTGAAAGAAATCGTGACTATATAAATTATTGAGATGATGTACATATTATGTAGATTTTATAAATAAAATATAATAAAATAACTCTTTTATCTTTCTCGTTTTTTTAATCGGGTTCACTTATGGCACTTACTGTAGATGATCCCTTTTCAAAAATCAGACTCTCGCTAGTTAGATACATAGACAGCGGAACCTAGAGGCTGGATGAGATGTGAGCTTCATCCAAACTTGACGTCTGTAGGCTCAGCCTCACCCAAATTATGGATTCGATATTTTTTGCACGATGATTTACACTTATCTTATCAGTTGAATATTATTTCAGTCTGAAGATTCGAACTTCTAATACGTTTATCTATATATCGTGATAAAGAAAACTAAGAAATTCAGACAGTAATAAACTCACTAACTATGTTCTTATGGTTTATAGCACACCTTTTATCTCATTTATATATAGTGGTATGTGTACTAGACCAATTATTGAATTATGCGATCAAAATACATAAAAACTAGCTATATTTGAGTGTTCTAACATTCTCTTTAACGTATTCAGTGAAATACATCCACAGTAATTGTTTAAAATATCAGCAAATATACCAACTAAAATACAGTGCGACACGAGTTTATTTGCATATTTATCTGAATGCCTAGCTCTCATATTATTTGAATGCCTTGGCATTATTATTTTACCAGTGCGTTAGAAGATTATCATATTAGTCTTTCTAAGAAAAATGTGATTTCATGTTTACATGAATACTAAGCAGATAAACAGTACTTTCTTTTCATCATAGTCATAAAATCAATAATTTAGGTTACAAACAGTAATACCATGAAAACGATGTGCTAGATTAATTTTGGAGATTTTTACTAAAAAAAGTAAAAGGTGCAACAACATCTGTATCTATAGAAGAAATTGCTTTAACTGATTTAACTGATCTTTCAACAAGTTCTCGAGACATAGCTCGTGAAATATCTTCTGTAACACAAACTACTCCTCTTGTTAATCCATTAAATAGTATGCATATTTATATTGTCAAACGAAAAAAGACAAGCCTTTTTGGTTTAATGTTCTAATATGAAATAAATAGTTCTTTTATTTTATGGAATTTTCATCCTTCTATAAAGACTTAGAAACTTTGCCGGTAAAGAACAGAATAATTTAGCACAATAATTTTCTGACAGCAAAACAATTAAATAGTCTGAAACGACTTATCATCTGAAATTCGCTCAAATTACCTCATGCTGATATGTGAAATACCATTTTAGGATAGCAAATAAACTTCCATTCAGTCTAACCTGATTTCGAAACGTTCTGCCGCCTCTGGTTAGATATTTGACAGTTTTATATTGTTTAATTCAATTCAATATATCCTTTCATTCTTTTGAAATGAATTCATGTTAGTGAAAAATTTCAATGTATTTATTTATTTTACTCATTACTTTAGAATTGATTATAGGTTTTCCTATTAAATACATTCATACTTTTCTGTGAGAATTGGCAGAAACCTAATAAGATTTAATCAATAATGACGAAAATCTACAAGACTCTTGCTAAAGACCTTTAGAATACAATAGTTTCGTAGCTTGCAATCTGTCCTATGACTTTTGTAACCTGTTTTAACGATGTAGGACAGATTAGTCATATCTTGTATGTCTCTAACTCTTGCCAACTTCATTGACAAAATTCTTACTGATGAAAAACAAAAATCTCATTTTTTTTACCTATATGGCTGTGTGGAATAAAAAACACCACTATTTAAATGTTCGAGCCAATTATGTTCATGGGTAAAAAACCATTTTTTTTTTCAATCTAAAATGACGATTTAAATTGATTAATTAAATCATGATATGTTGATTCATATTCAGATATAAAACCATCATGATTTATATCAAAAATACGTCATTTTGGTATATAAGATGTTATTAAGTATTTCCATTTTTTTGCATTTAAATATGTTGGATCATATTGGGTTGAAATTCGTAAAACGTCAACATGAAGAAAGAAATTTCTGACAATTTTTTCAAATCTATTAAATTGAATTAAATAAAGTTTTAATGAAACATATTTTAAACTTTTTAATCGAATAGAACATAATTGAATATCATAACGAGAGCGAATAAGATAATTAATTGATAGACGATGAAGTTTTGGAAAATAACACGATAAATTATTCAATAAATCATATGTGAAGACGACCATCAATAATTAAATGTTCAACTGAACTGTAACTATATTTATTGCAATCACTAGATAATTGGTTTTGATCAGTTTTTATTCGATATTTTGTTTTACAATATTTTAATTTTGATAAAGACATTATTTTAGAAAAAATATCATTCAAATTTTGAATATATTCCTTAAAATTAAGTACTAATGAATGTAAATAAGATAAGAACTTTAATTCATCAAAGATACTGTCGAAATTTTTTTCAGTAATTTGATCAAGAATTAATTTTTCAAGAGAAATAAACTTTAAACCAAAATGAATTGGTAATAATACAATATCAATAATAAATGAATTTGATAAACGAAGTATTTCAATTCGATGTTTCTTTGAAATAATTATGTTTTTATAAAACTTTTCAAAATTTGATTTTGATACAAGTGGAGTATTCATTTTAATTGCAAGTGTTGAATAAAGAGTTAAATGTTGAAAACGTTTGTTAAGATAAAAAAATCCATTATAAACATCGTAAAAATCAATATACTCAAATATGTCATATAAAATTTCATTCTGTATTTTCACCGTAGATTTGCTTCATACGACACCGTAAACGGACCGCGTATTTTCTTGTAATCATGGGCACAGTAATACGGCACCGCATACAAGGCCGTATTTTCACAGTATACGGTCGTTTACGGACCGTATTGTTCGACCTGAGAAATAACGTGATCGAGAATTATATGATGACGAAAAAGAAAACATTCGCGTAGAATAACATTCGATCTTGGTTTATATATATATATGTGCACACATAGAGAAGAAAATAAGAATGACAAATCAGCAATATATATTAAGAAAGGACTACTGTGTTACTTTATTAGTCATCATCCAATAAAATAGATTATTCTATCTTTCCTTTAAAAGAAAGAATATTATTCAAAGACTTAGAAAGTAAAAAAGACATGAAAACTTTTATTTTTCACTATATTTAAAGATAACTATCCGTTTTTCAATATTCTTCATTTTCTTGTCACGAGAAGATTAATAAAAGATTTTCTAAATAATATATCAAGCAAACTTGATCAATGTTGAATAAAACAATCAATTGATTTATCAATCTGTCAATATATGTTAATATATTTTAAAAAAAAGAAACTATTCGAAAGCGAAAGAGAGAGAAATAATTATTAAAAAAAGTATGAAAAATTGTTTCTTATTTCATATTTCCAAATATTTGTTCGTTATTTTAATTGAGAGTATACGATTAGAATAACAAATCAAATACATATTTCGTTCGGAAAAATTTTCTTCTGCTTTATATTTCTCTTTGAGCATTTTCTCTATTCAATAGATAACAGTTACACTTGCAAAGAAAAACTGATTCTTTATGAAAAATAAACTCATACTTTGAAGCTTTTTTAACTAAAATAATTTATTTTCTAATAAAAACAAACTGAGTAAAGTTAGATTTCGAATATTTATTTAATGTCAACTTCAACTATCATTTTATTGAAAATCTTTTAAGTGACAAGCTCGTTGAATATTCCATTTATATTCAATCTTGAAAAAACACCAATGTTTAGAATATATTCAATGGAATAGTGACATTTTATTATATTATTTCTATATGATATTTGGAAGCGACGAAGTGTGTTTTCAGTATCCCCAAATAAGAAAACTGAGCATCTAATTATTATCGATTTCAAACAAGAAAAAGGGTGGTTGCTTTTTTTCTAATAACTTTTTAATGGAGATAGATATCCGTCTGCGGTTTTCACCATTTGATAGAGACCAGCGCTCTGCATCCTTCCATCAATGGTAAAACAAAAGGTTACCTTATCATTCAGATTAGTAATCAGTAAAATTCAAAGAAGTACCGAAAGTGTCGTAAAAATTTTATGAAATTTCAATTGTAAGAAGTGCGTTAGAGGGTGGGTGTGGGTGTGAGGTGGGTGTCGGTGGGTGTGGGTGTGGGGTGGGTGTGGGTGGGTGGTGTGGGTGTGGGTGTGTGTGGGTGTGGGTGGGTGTGGGTGTGGATCTGGATCTGGATTAAGTGGAGAGCTAGTCCCACACCCACACCCACACCCACCCACACACCCCACCCACACACACCCACACGCACACCCCACACCCACACCCACACCCACACCCACACCCTAGTTTTGACGGGCTACAATCTCATATAAGTAGCATCTCCGAGCATTCTGTCGTTGTGGGTATGAACGGGTGTGGATCTAAGTGTATAGTCGTCTATCAGTAAATTGACTTTAGTTCCTTCCAAGTTTTATGAAATCAACATTTACTATATACCATTCGATGCGCCACAAACTTCTTTACGGTATGATATATTTGGTTTTTCATTTCTGAATAGTTTATCTTATCCGACAAGGGCCTTTAAGCACCATGATCAGAACCTTTGGTCTGTTCTAAGTATATTATGTGATGAATTTTGTATCATTTGAATTCTATAATTGAACCAGCCAGCTACCAATGGCTTACGTCAAGAAGTTGAGCCGCTTTTAAATTGATTATCAACTGGTTACTAAATTAAATTATTGAAGAATAGTTTACTTTTAATCTTTTGCATCTAACTACTTAAATAAAATATAGGAAACACATATAATAACTTCGACTTGTTTGTTCAATAACATGCATATCATCAAAACAGTCTATTACAAGTTTTTCTGCGTTTCTTCCTTTTATGTTCATTTCATGACCAATTGTGTTTTTGTTGTCTCATTTGGTTCAATTTTATCCGCATTGTTCGTATCTATTTCATATTTCGACTGTAATTCTGTATAAAACAGTGAAAATAGTTATCAAAATAGATTACATGTACTAAGGGATCGAAATGGACTCGAACTTTAGCCAAAAGAAGAATCCACCTAATTAAGAAATAAGAGAAAATTATTTTTTGTTTCTATAAGTCATTTATGTCATCTATGCAGATAATCACTTATCAAATGTTAATATGCTACAAATACCAGAAGAAAACCATTCATTATATGAGCAGTAGATGTTTCGTTTATAATATTACAATTTTTAAATGATGTATGCAATAATTGCTGGATATATATCTGTAAAAAATATTCTCAATCTCACTTATTTGAGCATCTTTGTGAAGTCCTATGTTTATAAGTACTGTTAATAATTTAGTGATATCCAACAACAGATAATGTGTAACATTCAAATTGTTCTGAAAGTTTTCAGAAAAAATGCAGAGTTAACAATATCCCGCTGGTTCTACATGATTATCGTGAGCTATATGTATTAGAGTAAGCAAATCTTGAAAGATTTGTAAATTTCTTATGTGTGTATGTTGCATGAAATCTGTTCATTATCAACTTCATGTCGCATACGATAGTGATAAAAGAATAACTATATTTCTTGGAAGCCTATAGTGCACATATTATTCGACTCTCTCACCACATCTAAAGCATACATGATGATCGAAAAGTGGAAAATTATCAAAACCTCGAGCACATAAAGAAATTCGTTTTACTTGTTCACTCTGTATCACTGCTATCTATTGACTCTTTCCTCGTGCTTCGTACACATCCATCATTCTGTCTGATTTTGATTTTAATATCTATTCGATTTTTGCTTTATATGCGTACTGTCAATTTGTTGTTGAGTGATTGAAGTTTAGTTTCTTTAATAAGTCATGTATATTGCATCATCCATGGGAACAGAAAAGTATCGAGTGTACAAGTATACTTTTACAAGTCAATTATTTTTACGAGATTTGTGAGTAATAGTTTTTCTCTAAACATAACAGTCATTTGTCGAGGTTTCCGTGTAGCACGTCTCCTACGATTCCGACCTAGAAACTTGTCCAAGGGTTGATAGATTGAAGATCCAAATAGAAGAACATTTGTCGTTCCATCAACAACAAAGTGGTTTCATGTGATGAATCCACTGATCAACAAGACGGACGAAGCGTGTGGACTTGTTTCTATGCAGGAGTTATTTCATCATCCAAGACAAGATGTTTATCACATGCTAACCGGAGGACGAGAAAGAGTTTCACTCACACATTTTGATGTAATCTATGAGGATGAAGAAACATTGAAGAAGCTAAGAATTGATTGACTCATTGAAGCCAAGGACTTCAAGAACGATCGAAGTGTCGGTGAAAGAAACAACTGAATAATACAATATTTTTGGAGTACACATGATTCGAATGACATACGTCAACGATTTGAAAATATGTGTCGTATCAAATAAAACACGATTTCTAGGCTCGCTCTTGAGTGCGTAATAGCTACCATAATACCAAGTATTTTGATGTTGCTTGTTTTGTTTTCTAGCGATATATATTCTGTAGTATCTTTTTACTCGTTTGGTTTTGTTGGTTGATATCGTGTAATGTGATTAATATTTATATTTAAAATGAACTTAGACTTGTTTTTATATTTGACATGTGAATTCTAAGATTTGTGTACCATTGTATGTGTAGAATGGGGAAAGGGTCAATATTGAAATATGCTTCGTATCAGTGTTAAAGAAGAAAAAACATGAAGGTACATATGTGTTTTTAGTGACTAACTTCATGACAGGATTATAAAGGGAATACGATGAGAGAGAGGAAGATTTTTTTGTGTCTGGTCATCGAAAGACACTGTTGTGAATGATGAATGATATAGAAGGTTGATGTTTGATCAGTCATAAGAATTCGAACGACGCATGTAAAATTTTTGTAAAGTAAGAATTATAATGTCATATTGGGTGCGTGTTTAATGCAGAATCCAGACGAAAGTATTTGTACTTGTTTTTTTTCATACTTTTCCAAGTAAAAGTATAAGTATCAAGTACCGAGTATACGTGATGAGTACTTGCATTTGTACATTGGATACTTATACTCGTCCTAGCTCTGTTCTGTGGGTATTCAAAAAGTGAGTATGAGTTCGAGTAGTTCCATCGTAAAAAATGTCAGTCTTATTTTTCATTTTTTTATCTGGTT